CCTTCCCTGGTTTGGGGACAGGGTTGGCATCGCCCTATGAACTTCATCGAGAATCTGGGGTAATCTCAGATCATGTCAGTTCACCACGGTTATGAGATGGAGGATGATGGTAACAGCAGTTTAGACTGGGGAAGGGCCTTGGAGGTGATCTGCTGTGACACTCTTGTGACAGTCCTCAGACTTCTCTCTCACCAGGACCCAGGTAGTGGGTGCTTTATGTATTTCATTTCTTTTAAGAACAGAAGAGTTATTTATTTATTTATTGAAAGGCACAATGTCTTTATTTGATTTTTCCCCATCATCACTCATTCCCCCTGTGTACCCTCCCTCCCCCCACCCCCTTCCCCCCCTGCAGTCACCACATTGTTGTCCGTGTCTGTGAGTTCTTTGTCTTTTTTCTTTTTTTGCTCCATCCCTTGCCCTGCCCAGCTGTGAGCCTGCTCTCTATGTATGAGTCTGTCTCTATTTTGCGTCTTAGTTCAGTTTGTTCATTAGATTCCACCTCTGAATGCAGTCGCATGGTACTTGTCTTTCTGTAGCGGGTGCTTTAGTTGGAGTCCTCCCCAAAGCAGGCAGACCGGGGACAAGGAGCTGGGGGCTGGGGCGTGATGTCAGGAAGCAGAAGCGAGGGAAGGGGTGGTACAGAAGGAAAGGAGGAGAGCCGGTTCGGGGTACGCTAATGAGCAGCTGCCACTACGGCTACCTGGAGCTCAGTCATTTTGGTGACCCCCTGAATATGCCTCAGCATCGTCCCACCAGGGAATAAGGTAGTTGGGATGTTTTTCTACTGACTGTGTCTCTTACTGGGTGAGGGTTGTCACTGAGGGCTGAGCTTTTTCCCACACCAGGGAAAGCCCTCGGAGGGGCCTGGGCCCCTGAGGTGGGCACTGGCAGCGTCACAGGAACGGCCCTCTGCAGTTGCAGTGAGCTCAGACATGGGCCAGGGCAGCCTCGGGGGGCATCTTCTGGTTACAGAATGGACATCTGTGGGAGTGTCTGTGGTTATCGGGGTCGTTTTAAACTCTCATCTGCAAATTCTTGATATGCCACTTTCCATTAAGAGCTGGGAGCTTTGGCCATAAAACAGAATGACATCTTACCATTAGTGACATCATGGGTAGATCTGGACGGTGTTGTGCTGGGTGAAATAAGTCAGATGCAGAGAGACGGATGCCAGGTGATCTCCCAGACACATATATGAATCTAAAGAGCCAAATGAATTAGCAAACAGGATTAAAACAGACTCACAGAGAAAGAGGGCAGACTGGTGGTTGCCAGAGGTGAAGGAGGTGAGGGTATCGGGAGGGACAAATTGGTGGTTACAACATAGTCACTGGGATGCACAAAATATAGTCAGTACTGGTGGGATAACTACAGTGCCAGGTGGGTACCGGAAATATTTGGGGGAGACACACTGGAAAGTACACGATTGTCTAACCACTGTGCTATACACCTGAAACCAATACAAATAATATGGAAAGTAAGCTGTAATTGAAAAAGAGGTGGGAGCTTGTAGTTTCTTTCCCTTAAATCTAGGCAGGCTCGTAACTGCTTTGACCAATAGAATATATTACAAGTGGTCAGTGTGACTTTCAAGGTTAGGTCATAAAAAGCATGCAAACTTCCACCTTGACTGCTGGGACTCTTGCTTTTGGAGCCTTTATCTGCTAGGTAAGATGTCCAACTACCCTGAGACTGTGTTGTGTAGGTTCTCTGCTCAACAGCCCCAGCTGAGCTCCCAGCCAACGGCCAATGTGAGCTGCCAGCTATGCGAGTGAGCCATTTTGGACATCTAGTTCTATAGCTCTTCAGACATCTGCAGCCTCAGCCAACATCTGACTTCAACATCTTGAGTGAACCAAGTGAGACCTGCCCAATCCAGCTCTGTTTGAATTCCTGACCCACAGAATCTGTGAGCAAAATACAGTGTTTGTTGTTTTATGCTGTTATGTTTGGTGTACCCTGTTATGCAATAATGGGAACCTGGTGGTACTGAGGAAATGCTGGGGGAAGGGTTTCCTGTCATTTCTCGGAGGAGGCAGTGGAGCACAGGGAGGGGAAGACATTTGCTTGAGCTCATATAAGCAGGTTTTTCCAGCTGGACCATTAGCAATTCCCCAGCTGCTTTCTGGGTATGCTGTAATTAAGGGAGATAATGTTTTGCAAAAGGCTTTGTGAAGAGCCTGGTAGCACCTTGCAGTCATACTGCACCTTTTCTTCCCTTACTATGGAATTCTCTGATGTTATCCCAGTCCATTCCCTTGCCCAGAAGTTTGTATGATTGTGCCCACTGATGCTTCATAAAGAAACCATTTTATTTTCTTTGTTCAAAGTGGTAGAATCAAGGATGAAGAAGAGAGGGGAAGGACTATTTCCACTAATCTGGAAATCTTTCCATTATATGAATATTAAATTTGGACAACAACTTTTAAGAACTGGATGTTCCAGTCAAGAGTATGGCATATACATCCTGGGACTCTTTGAAGGGCTGGCAGAAGAAGGTTCTCTAAAATCGTCACCTTAGAATCACCTGAGCCTTTGACTCCTACCGAGAGAATGTCTGTGTTGTACAGTGTAATACACTGTAATGAATGGAGTGTAAAAACATTTGACAACACATGGGTTCCATTTCCATCGATAATACATGGGTTTAGAAATGAAGGAGAAAAGCCTTAAGAAAATATGCTTTGTTTTTTTAAAAATGTATATTAGTTAAAAAGAGTTTCGAACTCCAAACCGTTGTTGATACCAGATGCACCCACACCCCTGCCCTGTGTATCTATTTCTCGTTCAGACTCTTAAGGCTGACTTATTCCCTGTGTCTTGCAAAAGTGAGTAACAAGTCCTCCTCATGTGAATGAGGATAAAATTTTTGAGATGAAAAATGGTTGAGATGAAAGTCTGATGGTTTTCCCTGACTCTCTGTGAGTCATAGACTCTGCACGGCTGGACTTCAGAAACCGACTGTTAAAATGGCCCTGAAAAAGACCTGAGAAGTGGCCAGTTCGGAAACCCTCATATAAATAAATCCTCATCACGGAGTCTATAGTGGCTTGACTTGAACATTCTTCAGGATCCCTGAAATGTAGCCTCACATCTTCAGTTTACACAACACTGTGAACAGTGCTGGGCCACTGGTTCAGTTTTTTTTTTAAAACACTAATTTAGGTTTTAGGCACAGATAAGGAGCGCTAGGAAAATGTCCATCAAAATTTCTCAGGGTGTTCTCTAACGTAAAACACTAAAATAAGTATAAATTGATGTGGGTGTAGAGTGGGCATGTGTGTGTCTTTATGTATATATCTGCCTCATTCAAAAATGGGATTTGGTTGCTCTATCGTGTATTTCCTGTAAACTGGAAATTAGATCTAAAGATTTGATTAGATTCAAGTTAGTTATTTGTGTCTGCAATATACTGTGGGTGATATCACAGCTTCATTTCATTCATTCATTCATTCATTCATTCATTCATTCATTCATTCATTCAGGAGGTCACTCTTCAGTTTGGGTTGGGCTCAGCTGGGAAGATCTGGTGTAGGCTGGGCTTGGCTGATCTTGGCTGGGATCACTCATGTACTTCTGGTCAGCTGGTAATCTGACTGGCTTATAATGGGTTCAGCTTGGACGGCTCAGATGACTGAGATCTTTCTCCATGTGATCCCTTGTCCTTCACCATGCTAGTTTGGGTTCATTCCAAGAGCAAAAGCAGAAGCATGCAAGACCCTTTGGAGGATAGGTTCTGACCTTGTACGATATCACTTCTGTCAAAGAAAATCTCAGGGCCAGATCAGATGTGGAGAAAAAGACTACTTTTTGATGGAAGGCGCTATAATGGCCCTTTGCTAGGGTATAGGTACAAGGAGGGAAAGAATCTGTAGCCATTTTTCCGTGTACCACAATGGGTTTGTAATCTTTGTTGGTGTGTGCATTTCTTACCTGTGTATGGGCTCCCAGCAGAAAAATCTCCCAGGCTGCTGTTGAGAATGTACATTTCTGAGAAACCAGGCACTCCAGATTGGAGTGATGAAAAAGCCCTGAAAATGAGAATTTTGAGTTCAGTTGAGATGGCAAGTTAGTGATTTGTGAGGGGCAAAAACTTGCCTTGGCATTTTCTTTGTGAAGAATATGTATGTGTGTATATACGTAGGCTTCAGCTTCTCATTTATACAGTAAGGACATCTGGTTAGCTCACTTGAAAAGGTAACCACTGGGAAGTAAAATCTGTAGCATATCAAATATACTATGGATTATGGTAAGATACATAACTGCTATGTAGATTCAGATCACTTTATAACAAACTACCACAGAATCGATGGTTTAAACAACAGAAATTCCTCACAATTCTGGAGGCTGGGAAGTCAGAGATCAGGGTGCTAGTATGGTCAGGTTCTGGTGAGGACCCTTTTCCTGGCTTGAAAATGCTGCTTTCTTACAATACTCTCAATTCTCACATGGTAGGGAGGGGGCAGGACAGGAAGAGACAGACTCTCTCTGATGCCTTGGTTATAAGGGCATTTGGCTCATCATGAGGACCCCATCTGGATGGCCTCATCTAAACCTACTGACATCCCAAAGGCCCCGCCTCCAAGTACCGTCACACCGGGGGCCGGGGCTTCAACATATGCATGGGAGAGGGCACAAGAGTTCAGTGCATAGCAAGCTGCACACAAAATCAGACTTTCTGGTTTACATTTGTTGGGGAGTGAGCAATATTATGAAGGTTTAGAGGGATATGCTAGAACGTTTCCTATATTTAAAAGGCTCACATGTGGAAAAGTAATTAAACCTTGTAGTGTCTCAGAAAAAGAATTGTGAATTATAGATAAAAGCTCTGAAGACGACAGAAAACTGGCCCCAGTTTATTGTAAGAAAGGCCTTTGGGATGATCTGGGGTTTCTGTCCTGGGGGAAGCAGACTGTCATATTGATGTCATTGGTCCTACATCATTGGCTGGTGCAGACCAAGGCCTCACTGTTCTTGTTGGCAATTTTGTGTTTGTAACCTAGCATGTGGGTGTGTCACTATGTATTGGGAAGGAAGGTAGATAGATTGTGTGTGTGTGTGTGTGTGTGTGTGTGTGTGTGTGTGAGTGAGTGTGATGGTGGTGGCGACGGGGCTTGGCGAGTTGCACTGAGGTTCTTTAAAAGAGGGTGTTTTCTAATTCTAGTCCTGGCTCAGATGTGTGAAGGGTGGTTGGTGGAGTGGGAAGTGCATGGGTGTCAGAGTCAGACAGATTTGGAAGATTCCTGACTTTATGATCTCGGGCAAGTTACTCAACCGCACCGAGATTTTTGTCCACATTTCTAAAATGGGCGGGTTTTAAGAATTAGAGAAAATGTTTGATGAATACTTAAAACAGTTCTTAGCACCTGATAGGTGCTACAGTGGTGACTATTATATATTTAGAATCATATAATCAGTATTAAATCTTCAAATATATTTTGAAAACCTATTATGCAAACCTAGCTGAGTTGTAGGGTCTAATGGTCAAATATATATTTTATTTTTCTCCTTCAAACAGTTTTAAGTTATTGAGAAAAGCCAGCACTTTTTATAAAATTACAGTTTTATAAATGCTTTTACAGAATTTTATCTATCTACACATATTTATCGAGCATCTAGTTTGTGTGGGGCATTTTGCTAATTATTTGGTGGATGGTTGGAAAAATACAGATTTATTGTACTATGGTTTTCATTGTGCTATTAAGGATAATGCATAGTGAATTCTGCAACAGAGTTAGGGGAGGGACCATATCAAGAATATTGCACCAGTCATTTCTAAAGACTACCCAGGATGAGAAAATGGCCACCGGAATCCAGTTCTTTCATCCTCTGCTAAACCAAAGGCTGTGTGACTTGCTACTTCTCATTTACTCAGCAGGCGGCGCTCTAGCACCAGGAATTGCAGAGAGTAGCAATTTAGCAAAACAAGGACTTTTTTGGTTAATGCTTGTTTTTCAGGCAAAAGAGGAAAGCTGTTAGGAAAAATAAACAGTTTATCAGGCATTGCAACAAAGACACTTGAGGAAAAAGACAAGCTGTCACTTCAAGGACAGGATGAAAATTCCCTGCATTTGTAGAAGCATTAGATGCTGGGCGCATGCCTTATAAGAAAAAATCATGAAATGAGGAAGGAAAAAAAATGATGGAGATAAAAGAGAAGATTAAGAAAATAGAAAACAATTGAAATCATCTGCAAGCAAGGATGGAGTATAGTTCTGGGAGAGGAATGTGGACGAGTATTGTAGCAATCGGAAAAAATAAAAACTGCTGAAGTATAATTGAGAATCATTCTAAGTATTCAGATGTGCCATTTACGTCTGATGCCAGAATTTCCTGCGTAATTGGTTTCAGCTGTCCAGCCAACATCCAGTTCTTGTTTTGTAGCTTTCAATATTTTGAGGTCTTCAGTACATAGACTTTTGCACCTAATGACAAGTGCCTGATTTCTGAATCAAAATTGCTTCATTGTTTTCCAAATTTGCATGTTAGGGAAACAGAACAGCTGAGTTAGGAACTAAGTTTTGGTGTAAGGGATTTGGACAGGACCAGCTAAAAAAGGGAAAAGTATTCACTGTGGATTGGTGGGAATTTGGAAGTGTTGTACGTGGTAACCTCAATTAGATTTAGGGAAGGTGCTACCAATTTAATCTTCACTTCCTCCACTGGGCCATTAAAATGGCTTTTTTTTGGAGGGGCTATCAAATTACTAGCTTAGACCCTTTTCATAAGGTTGTTAATCCAACATCATTTTATGTGGTTTACTCTCATGTAGGGAGGTTTTATCAGCAGAATACATTAAAATGATCTGAAAAAACTCCATAAAACACAAAAGGATGAGCAGTTATCAAATTGATTGCTAGTATCTAACCACAGGCTCTGCAATAAATGAATTGAATTAGTGCAATGGGAAAACTGTTTTACAAGTGGTTCTGAAACCTCAGTGTGACCCTGGAGACTCCTTAGAACACATTTCGGGGGCCACTCCCAGAGTCTCTGGTCCAGGAGGTCTGAGGTGGGATCAGAACGTACATTTCTATCAAATTCCAGCCAGTGTTCCTTGTCCAGAGATCTCACTTTGAGAACCACTGACTTACACATTTTCTAAAAAATATTTTCTATTTGACTTAGTTATGACTTTGATGTCCATCCTTCGACCATAATATAAGGTCGAGTTAGACATTTAACTAACTCACAGAGGAGGACAGAGTCTGCAGGTATTTACTGAACACCTTACATGTGCCTGGTTCTATTCTGGGCTCTTTACATTCTTAATCTTCTCACTTCATCTTCCCTCTGGCTTTATGAGTAAAGAGATGTGAGATCGTATGAATAATGAGTAAAGTATGATATGCTCTTTCCACTTAACATGTAGAGCTGGACTCTTCAAGAGCTGGGAACTTTCCAACAGCAAACATCTAGCAAATGGCTGAACTTGAATTTGGACCCAGGTGTGCCAGACTGCAAAGACCGCACTGCAGAGGAGCACTTCAGAACATTCCTCATGGTTTGATTGAATGAATTTCACAGATTTTAGTTCATACCCACCTTGCATGACTGGACACAAGTGAACTCCTTAATTTCTGGACCTAAGTGTCTCTATTTCTTAGGAGGTATGTACCTGTTTCCCAGGGCTAGGATAGGGATAAAGTGAAATAATGTATGTTGGAGCACCCAGGATAGTTAGTGTCTGGCACACAGTAGGTGCTCATTAAAGCTGAACTCCCTTTCTTTTCTATAGAAGTGCAACTATTTAATCCAAGTGCATCTCAGAAATAAGTGGGAAAGATTGGATGAGGACAGAGACCACCAGATTCTGGCTGTCCTAGTGGGAAGGAAGGCAGCCGTTCTGTTCGCCGGTCAGCAAGACCTACGGGAGCTGCTAGCTTTCTTCAGATGGAGCCTCCCACTACATTGGCCTCCTGTCACCCAGCCTCCCCGATGGCAGTGGCTGTCTGTCCTGAATACCTACTCTCACCAACGTAACCAGACAGAACCAGACGTTCTCCGGGTGAGTGGTCCAGAAGCGCTGTGTGTTCCAACTACACCCTTGGCTTGGATTTCCATCAACTTCCCCCACACCTTCACGCGGTCATTCCATTATCTCGGTTATTTCTGACTCTGTTTCTTTTGACTAATTTTGCTCCTGGATGTGAGTCACATTTTCCTGTTTCTTTGCATGTCGACTAATTTTAAAATTAGATGTTGACATTCTCAATGACATTTCATTGGGTGTTTAGATTTTTTTTTAATTTATTTTTTTATTGATTATGCCATTACAGTTGTTCTATTCCCCCCTTCATTCCCCTCCACCCTACCCCCCTCCCCACCATTACCCCCCCCTTTAGTTTATGACCATGTGTCTCAAGTTCTTTAGATTCTATATTTCCCATACTATTCTTGCCCTCCCCGTCTATTTTCTATCTACCGTCTATGCTACTTATTTTCTGTACCTTCTCCCCCCCTTCTCCTCCTCCCACTCCCCTGTTGCTAACCCTCCTTGAGATCTTCATTTCTATGTTTCCACTCCTGATCTAGCTGTCCTTTTAGTTTGCTTTTGTTTTAGGTGTGGTTGTTAATAACTGTGAGTTTGCTGTCCTTTCACTGTTCATGTTATTTTAACTTCTTTTTCTTAGGTAAGTCCCTTTAACATTTCATATAATAAGGGCTTGGTGATGATGAACTCCTTGAATTTGATCTTATCTGAGAAGCACTTTATCTGTCCTTCCATTCTAAATGAAAGTTTTGCTGGATAGAGCAATCTTAGTTGTAGATCTTTGGATTTCATGACTTGGAATACCCCTTTCCAGCCCCTTCTTGCCTGTAAGGTCTCTTTTGAGAAATCCGCTGATAGTCTGATGGGAGCTCCTTTGTAGGTGACTGGGTGTTTAGATTTTGCTAACAGAATGTTGAAGTTTGTTTTGATAGGCTGTAAACTTCTGTGCACATCAGCTCGATCTTTTCTAGGCTCGTTTTTAAGCTTTGTTAGGTTTGGTCTAGAGTAGCCTTCACTACTCGAAGGGGATGGCACTTTGGGGGTCCCTCTGAATACATCAATGAGTCATTGTACTCAGGGTATCTTCACTCTGGCTGGGGAGAGCTCAAAGCATCTTCCAGCCCTGAATGGGTCCTGGAAATTGTTCAGCGTACAGCCACCTGACAGTTGTCGTGTTTTGGCTTTGTGTAGCTTGATCTAAGTGTGTGCAGATTAGCATTCAGTCAGAGAGTCGAGGAGACCTCTCTTCAGATTTCCAGGAAACTTTCTCTGCACAGCTCCCTCCTGCCTGGGACTGTGCCCCATAAATTCCAGCTGCCTCAGCCTCCCCAAGCACCTACGTTTGTCTCCTCAACTCAGTGCATCTCCCACTTTCCGTCTGGATTCCTTTCCCTGTGCCAAGCCCAGAAATTGCGTCTAAGCAGAAAACCAGGGCAGTTGTAGGGAGGGCTCACCTTGTTTAGTTCCATTCTCTCAGGGATTATAGTCCTGCTCTGGCTGCTGTCAGTTGTGCCATGTATTTTGTCCAGTTTTCCAGTAGTTTCTAGTGGGACTGAGTGTCCTGTGCCACCTACTACTCCTTGGGTGGTGCAGTGATCTGCACACTCTTTACTTTGTGGCCTGCTTCTGGCCCCAGTTCTGGGGCTCAGCGCAGCCACCATCTTCCCTGGGACACCTTTCGGATTCCCAGCCATTTGGTTTAAATGCTCCTTCATCAGTTTATTTACACTACCCTCCCACCCCAACCCCCACCCCCCTCTGGGATTGTGAGTTTCTTAAGGCACGGATTGCAACTCTCTGGATCTTCAATCCCTAGCACGGCACACAGAGCAGAGCAGTGATCCATGAATGCTCACTGACTATACAGAAAAACCACAGGGAATCGTGTTTTTGGACTTTAAGTTCTGCCAAGAGCGCACCTCATTCATCCTCTGCTTCTAAAGTCTCCTCTTTCCTGGTCTCTCGAACTGAAGAACGAGTTACCACATTCCTCCCTCCCCCTAGCCCGCACAGGAAATGTGGTGGGGTTTGACTCTGGGCCATTTATATCATGTGGCAGAAGTGACTCACTGTCCATCAAAGGGTGTGGTCTTGCCCTAGACGGGCTGGCCAGATTTAGCGAGAACATAAACAAACAACCATGAAAAACAAGACTGCCAGTTAAATGGGAATTTCAGATACAATCTTTGGGACCTACTTATACTACAAAATGATTTTTCCCCCCTAGGATTCAGATTTAACTAGGTGTTGTGTGTTTTGTCTGGCAGCCCTGCACTGGGAAGCAGCCGCTCAGCCAGGACGCTGTTCTTACCAGTGGAGCATGGTGGGACGTGATGTGTAAGGGGACATGTGTGTCGCTTCCTGGCTCAGGTGGTTCAGGTGTGCGGTCTCCACCCTCTCTTTCCACTTCTTCCTGAATGTAGAGGCCTCGGAGGCCCCAGGGGAGGAGAGGCCCTGAGGATAAGGAACGCAGGGTCCTTGCGGAGCATGTGGATGAGCCCTGCTCACAACCTGCTTTTGACCTCTCCGTGAGTGAGGATCCAACCCAGCGAGGCTGTGGGGGTTATTTGCTATGGCCATTAATGTTGCTCTGTTTCCTGTTCTGTTGAAAAAGCGAAATGTGGGTATTTTCCCTAAGGTTCTGCACTGCTTTCTTGATCGTTCCTGTTGTGTATGTCCAGATGCCTCAAATTCCACAGGTCTAAACTAGAACTTGTGGTTTCCCCCGCGTATGCCAGTCCTGTGTTCTTTATCCCAGTGGACGCCTCCTTTTTCTCGTCCTCAGTATCCAACCTACTATCAGCGCATGTACATTTTACCTCTCAAATCTCTTTATCAGTCCACCTTTTTCTACTTGCATTGCTACCACCCTGGACCAAGCTGCTAATATGTTTTATATGGACCACCGCTATTGCTTACATTCTACATTGTTCTATCTTGCAGCCAGAGTTGATCTTTTCAAAACCATGTCTCGTCACCCGCCTGGCTAAAACTCTCCATGGACTCCTATTGCTCGTAGGATGGGGATGGGGACCATTAATGTGACCACAGAGGCCCTGCATGATCTGGCCTTTGCCTGCATTTCCAGGCTCATTTTGTGCCAGGCTTCCTCCACTTCATGGGGTTCCAGCCGTCCTAGCCCACCTCTGCTCCCTGAATGCGCCGTGCATTCTTCCTCCGTGAGCCGTTGGGCAGCCATGTCTTTTGCTAGGGCCACTCCCTCCAGCTCTTAGCCCAGCAAATCCTTGTTCTTGTTTGGGATCTCAGCACTCAGTTTAGTCAGTTCCTCTTCAGGGAAGCCTTTCCTGACGTCCCTAAGTCAATCCCCCCTCTTTGGATATCTCATTGTAGAAAGTAGCATTTTTTTTCAGCTTCTGCCACAGTAGTGGCTTTTATTTATCTGTGTGGTTCTTTGACAATATCTGTTTTCTCACTTGTTAGCTCTACGAGGACAGAAAATGTCTGTGTCCTTTTGTCCTCATCACTAGATTTTTAATAAATGTTTGTGTCAGGTAGGAATCCAACTTAAAGGTTCTCTGCATGAGTATCCATTTGTCCCCAAGACATTCCTTTCATAGTCCTTCCTTTTTCTACTGACGTTACATGCTATTTTTTATCTGAATGTATTCTGATCCATCATGGGCCTCTTTTACAATTCCCTATTTTCTTTCATCTCTCTCTTTGTCTATTATTGCATACTATAAATTTTTTTTAATATCAGATAGATCAAGTGCCACATATTGTTCTTACTTTTATAACATCGCTTGCCTATCCTTGAACATTTTCTCATTTAGGGGATTTTATAATCAGTCTGTCAGATTTTATTAAGCAATACTATTGGGACTTTGGTTGGGCTTGCAGTGAGAATTTCTGGCTTACTTTGGGAAGGAAACGACATCTTTAGAACCATGAGACTGCCCATACAGAGGCAAGAAAGTGCCTCTCCTTGTATTCAGTCTACCTTTTATAGTCTAGAGTAAATTTTTAGAGTTTTATTCATACAAATCTTGTACATTTCTTTTTAAGTATATTTTTAGGCATTTTATAAGTTTCGTTGCTGTAGTGCATAGAATTCTTTAAAATGACAATTTCTAACTGTTTATTTCAAGGTAAATAACAAGATGCTTATCTGTGTGTTCTTTTTACTGGCTAAGTCAGTGAATTCTATTATTTGCATAGTTTCTAAGTTGCTGTTTGAAATTTCTAGAGTGTTTTCGCTAGATTTCCTAGCGTTGCTTATTTATTTCCACTATACATTTTATATATATTTTTGTCGTATTAAATTGGCTACCATTTCTATCCACATAATATTAAAAAAATAGTAGGGGGAAGGGGTGCCAACTGTAGCATGGAGATTCCTGATGTAGTGAAGGTTATAGGATAGACAGTGGGGAGATACTGTCTCTCCTCTTTATCTCTTTATGTTTTCAATGTCTTCTTTGGTATCTTTCCTTTTCACTGTCTTCCTAGGATAAATTTATTTGGTTTTCCAGGGGCTTTCTCAATTTTATCACTAAAGGTTTTATATTCTTGGAAGTCCCTCAGTCCCAGGCAAACTGGCACATTTGGTCGTCCTCACTCTTAGCTGGTGTCATTTCTAAAGCTTAACTTGAGACAGAGACTCAGTGTGGGTACTTTGGAAGGCAGTGCCCCAGAGCAGAGGAGAGGGGCTGGGGAGAGTGAGGGAAGAAGGAAAAGGGCACATGAATGAGGTCAGTATTGGGAGTAACTAGGACTAGGTCCTGCCTGGAGCGTTTTGACTAGTGTTTTGAATGCCTTTCAGAATGGTCCACTGAGGATTGACTCCTGTCCCCATCGGCTCCTGTGTCCCGTTCGTTGAGGCTTGCCTGGGAGTCAGTAACCCTCCGCATGTGAGTGCTGCATAACACCTTCGGGGTCTGGAATGTTGGAGAAGCCCCGGCGTTTGCTGGAGGCCAGGTGCTCTCGGTGTGAGGTGAGCTGGGTCACGGCAGCTGACTGATGCATGTACTAAGGTCCAGATTTGTTTTGGGTCTGGTCTTCTGTGAGTCTGTCTTTCATATCAGTTCTCCTGTGCGTCTTTGTATGTGTGTGATATGCTGTGAGATTTTCTCTAAAAGTGGAGCACAAAAAAGCGGTCAGCTTCCTGCTAGTCAAAGTGTGATTTAGAGAGATGAAGTCTTCACTTTGAGGCTCCTCATGGACTCACAGGTGGCTTCCTTCCCTCTTGTTTGAAGAGTGGGAGTAAATTTGTACAAGTTTATTGAGAGTGAAGAGTAAATTTTTGTCTGGAGAAGGCAAATTAAATAATTGTGAGCGATGAGGCATGTGAAATTCAAGTGCAACAGAGAGTATCATTAATTAACTGGAGACTGAACTTGAAGGCACCACTTGCATGCCAATGTAAACCACCATGGCCACTAATTAACCTGAGGTTGGGCTTGTTTTAACAGCAAGATGTTGATTTTCAAGCCAGCACAGAAAAAGAAGAGTTCATAGTTGGGTTGAATTGATGCCACCCTCTAGACTCTGTTGGGTTGAACTGGGGCAGTGGTTTATAAGAGGGTCCTTATGAAGAACCTTCTCTTTGTTCCAGTCATTATTAAAATTTAAATTTATTACCAAAGTTAAGAAAGCCAGTTATGACACGGAGGCTTAAATAAGAGTTCCCTGTGGGTTGGCCTGGCTCGCTGATTGGTAGCCTCCATTGTGGGGTGCTGGGGTAAGCTGGTTTTTTCACTGGGAGATCTTGAGATTTTAGTAGCTGTGTGTCTTTAATCTGGGGCTCTCTGATCCCAATCCCAGGAGGGAGCCACTTTCTGTTTATGCAGCGGTTGCTTCTGGGACTCCTAAATATTCAGATTCCTAAGTACCATTTCAATTCTTCTTGATTATTCAGTTTTTGGTATTAATTTATTGATTTACTGATTTTTTCTTATGGTGGATGATCATTTACCTCTGGGAGCTAATTAATCCTCCCCCAACCAGTCCTTCAACTGTACTTTGCTTTCCTCATTCTCCCAACAAAGTCCAGGCAATATTTCTGGCTATAGTAATATTCAGTGTTTACATGCGTATGCCTTGTAAATATTGTTTATATGTACATGTTGTTTACTACTAAACCAAGCACTGCACTAACATGACGATTTCTTTTGTTTTACTTTTCCCGGAGTTGTTAACTGCATACATTTATTTTGCTTAGTTTTTTTGTATCTACTGCTGTTCTATTTCATACCCTCCAGCAGATAACCCAGGAATCCCTTCTGCCCTCCTCCCCCGACCTGCCTCCCGAGTCCTCCGCCTTCTGGCTCCAGTCCGGACTTGGTGCTCCTGGGCCTGCTGTCCTCCTGGGCCTTGTTTTTACCCTGGAAGTTTTCCCTCTCTCCCCCCGTCAGGTCCCGTTTCCTGGATTCTCCATCTTTCTCTGTCTTGATGATTTTCCTACATTGGTCTCTGGAGTCTTTTATAGCCTCTTATTTTTTTAATTGTATTTTTTTCCATAACTATTTACCCCCACCCCCATACCCTCTTCCATCTCCATCCCGCCCCTCCGCCCACAATCACCACACTGTTGTCCGTGCCCACGAGTCCTTTTTCTTTTTCGCTCAATCCTCATCCACCAACAACCCCTCTCACTCAGAGCTGTCAGCCCCTTCTCTGTGAGTCTGTCTCCATTTGCTTTGTTAGTTCAGTTTGTTCATTAGATTCCACATAGGAGTGAAATCGTATGGTACTTTTCTTTCTTTGACTGGTTCATTTCACTTAGCATGATGTTCTCTAGGTCCATCCATGCTGTTACAAAGGGGTAATTTTTTTTTCATGGCTGAATGGCATTCCATTGTGTAAATGTGCTATAGCTGTTTCATACAGTTATCTACTGATGGGCACTTGGGCTGCTTCCAAATCTTGGCTATTGTAAATAATGTTGCAGTGAACACATGGGTACATATGTGTGTATTCTTTTGAATTAGTGTTTCAGGTTTCTTAGGATAAATTTCCAGAAGTAGAATCGCTGGGTCAAAAGGCAGATCCATTTAAAATTTTTTGAGGTGCCTCCATACTGCTTTCCACAGTGGCTGCACCAGTCTGCATTCCCACCAACAGTGCAGAAGGGTTCCCCTTTCTGAAGCCTCTTCTTTATTCCTGGTGTGCTGAAATTCCACAGCAATGTCTGATGGGTGTGTCTCTTTTCATTTATTATGCCAGGTTATAAATGGCAGTTTTCTACCAAAGAGTCGTATGCTCCAGTTCTGGAAACTTTATTCTCTTCCTCTTCCTCCTCCTACTTTTTTTTTTTTAAAAAAAACTTCTTTCTCCTGCTTTTTTTGGTCTTCACTTCTGGAACCCACATATTCGGGTAATGAAACCTCATAGATTGAGCCTCTAATTCTCTTACTCTTTTCCTTTTTGCTTATTTGATTTTCTCTCCTTCTGCTTATCACCTGAGACATCTGCTTGGTTTACTCTTCTGACTTTCCTATTTGGTTTTCAGTCATGACTATCACAGTTTTAGTTTCCAAGGGCTCCTTCTCTTTCTTGCTCTTTCCTGCTTTTTAACAAAATAGCAGCCTGCCTTTGGTTTGTGGACATGGCAGTGCTCTTATTACTCTGTGTATATTCATTTGAAGGATTTTTTTGGCGTCCTTTTTTTAATGTCCTGCATAGCTCACTTTCTTCCAGTTCCTTTCTCTATTTGTTTGATTTGCTCTCTGGATTTTGTGCTCAAGGCAAGGCGTTCCTTAACTGCCTGGTACTGCTGAGCCAGGGATCGGTTAGAATGAAGAGTGAGGCACTCACTGGGGCACCTGTGTGTGGGGTCAGGCTTCTTCATTGGTGGCCCCCCCCTTCTAAAGTGATTGGGTGGTGAGTCTGCTTTTTTGGGAGATCCTGAGATTTTTGAATCTATGTGTCTTTTCTCTGGGGCTGTTCCATTTCTCCTGAGAAGGATCTTTCTTTCCCCTGCTTGGGGTATTCCACCTTGGCTGTGGGAGTTCTGGGAGCTTGTCTAGGAAGGGGAGCTCAGAGGATCCCTCGTCATCCAGAAGGCAGACATTTACAAAATCGACTGCTTTTAATCCAGAGCCTCAACCCAACTTTCCCCTTTTCCTGGTCTTCCAGCGTCTGCAGCCTCCCTGGTATATTTCTCCAGACAGTGGGACATTCTTCTCCTGCAGGGGTCTGGGAGACCTAACGGTCCCTTATGTAGTAGTTCAATCGAACTCTGTTTTTCAGTCTGTGATGTACATGGTGATGAGCCACTCAAATCTGCGCTGGAGAAGGACTTGTCTTCAGCGGCCATTCCCTTCAGGAACTGCCTTCGCTCAAGGTCACCCTCTCCTGGTCGCCATGTCCAGTGATGACTGGAGGTGGGACCTGGTGGGACTTCAGGAAGGAGACATTTGATTATTTTTTTGTATTTTTTTATGGTTAGCGTTCTATTTAGGTTTATAATTTCTACTTAATGTCTTTTTTTATGTGGCAAATTTCCTTGGCCAGAGGTGGCAGGAGGGACTATTCAATGTTTTTCTTTGCTTGTTTGTTTAGTGAATTTTAAGTTGTATTACAATATGACTTGAATACTTTTGCTCTTTGGAGTTTCAAGATTTTCTTTTTAGCCTGCTACAGAGTTTTTGTCAATGTGCTATGTGTGTTGCACACCCATTGTTGACTGCAAAGTTCTCTCTTTATGTCTTCAGTTCAAGTTGGATGCTTGTTCAAAGTTGCCATATTGTTAATTATGCTTTGCTTATTTGTAGATGGCTGAGGGAAATCTGTAGAAGACTTTCAATGAATTGTGTTTTTCTTTGCTTCCCTTCCCCCTAATGTCTTGGAAGTTGCATATTCTACATCATTTCTTCTGGAGGTTACCTTTACACTGAAAACAATGAATTTACTTTAATTTTTTAAAAAGAAAATACAGCCCATGTGGTCCAGAGCTATTTTTGGAGCCAGGCTCTTTGATACTACGGGTCCAGCAGAAGAAGTCTGCTTGAGTGTGGTTGGGAAGGTAATAATATGGGTGTAATAATTTATACCTGTAGTTTGAATATTTCACCTAAAATGGCACATGGTGTGCTTGAGCAGGATGTCGTTATGTTACAGAATGACATGCTTATGATGTTGTAATAAAAGATTTTGAAATAAAAGGGGTGTTATTTGTGCCAGACCCTGCATGTACTCTGGATGACTGCCACAGGAGTGATTTAATCTCTAAACCTTTAGTGAGTACCTGCTGCATGCTGGGCACTGAGCAAAGCCACCACAGATTGAGAAGATGAATGAAACGCCTCCTACTCTCGTGACACTCCTCGAGTGAAACTGACAAGTAAACCAATGATAACATCAGGTGAAAGGTGATAATAGAGGCACAAACCGGGTAATGGGACAGAATGTAGGGGGGGGTGTGTGGTTGTCTGTCACAATGGTGGGCCCAGCGAGTCATCCCTCCCAGTCTTGTGGTGTGTTCGCCCCTCGATACTGGGCTGATTAACTAACCTGTGACTCATTTGTTACCAATAGACAGCGACATAAATTATACCAACTTTTCTTCCATATTTTAACCCTTCTGAAATTCTGGGCTGCATTCTGAGAAAATTTCTTGACTTACTAATCGCCCCTCTGCTGTATCCATTGTGTTATTTACTACTTTTTTGTTTGTTTTTCCAAGCTCTCTGATTGGTTCTGTTCTTGGTATTTCTTGCGAAGTTTCTACCTGTTTGTTCCAGTAATTGTGTTTCTTTCGGTGTTAGTTCCGTTTGTTGGATTTAGTACCCCTTTTTCCTGCTGTTAGCTTCCTACACATATTAGAACATTATTGCTTCTGTACTCCTCTGGATATTTGAGATTTCCTGTCTTATATCATACTGCCCTAGTGGACAGGTAAGATAGGATGCTGGGGGATGTTAGTGAGATTCCGTGCTACCTCTGGGTCTCTCTAGCTACCCAGCGCACTGTGTGGTCATTTCATCCGAGCATCCATCCTTCTGCTTCACTCTGCTTGGCACAGGTGGAATGGGGTGAACCACCTGGCTGCCTTACCTGTTAACCTCACCCATTAACCTCAGATATGTGGTCAGTTGCCCACAACCTCTTCGTCCCAGTCTCCCTCTATTCCTGCTTTCTTCGTTCACCCCCTCCCCACCTTCATTTTGCTATCCCCAAGCTGGGGCCATTCCTCGGGCCGCTCCCACCATCCCAGGGGCCCTCTCTCATACATGAACTGTTTCCTCATTAGATCTGGCCACATCGGCTTTCTGTCTTTGTTCCTGAGATGTTCATCTTTAATAAAAATGACTTGAGATAAAAATATAACCTAGAATTGAGAGCTGGCATGACAGATAGGAAATTCTGATTATTCATTTCAGCTTAGAGTTCAGACCTGTTAAGATCGTTTTGAAGTTTGAGTGTAATAGAAATAAGTGTAGGACTTGAAATTAGCTTTAAAGGAGCAATCACATCAGCATAGAATGGAGAAAACCCAGTTTTGGTAGTAATTTATGAAAAAAAATTCTAGAGCATTTGGTGTATTACAAGCTTTAAAAGGTGTGATATAGCCTGTGAATGTGATTACTGAAAAAGGTAATGTCACCAAGATGGGGAAGTAGGAGACCCTGGCCTTCATCCTCCCACAAAATTAAGATCAACAATTAGACAGCAACCCCTGAACAAAAACAGCTCTGGAAGAGCACTAGAGTCCATGTGGGAAAATTAACACCGTGGAACCAAAAAAACTGAGTAAAACCACATGAAGAGGGAAGGAAGAACAACTCATTTTGTCGGCATCATCCCACCCCCCCAGGCAGGCTCTGCTGCTTGTGAAGAGGGAACTGTCCTGCTGGAAAGTATCCACCCCCCACCCCCGAGCCGCACCCTCCCAACCGCCCCTGCAAGTATCAGCCATGCACATGGGGCCACTCTGGTTCCCAGAGCCCTGCCCTACAGAAGACCCAGTAACTTTCAACACTGAGGAAACCAGTGGCCAGAACAGCCATCATGGACCCCCTGCAGGTTTCACTGGGTTTTCTCCCCACAGGTATTTGCAAACACCAGTCACCTGAGTCCTTCCCTCCCCGTCCTCCTACTCCCCATCGCTGTTGGAGCCCAGTCCCACACCAGCAGCCATCCCAGGGCTCTGTGGCCACATGAGTGCAAGGCACCAGCCTAGACCTCCACAGTTGCTTTCCCTCTCCAGGCAAATGCTTGGAACTGACCCCTCCAGCTATGCACCTGCATGCTTCTAGACTGACTCCTGTCACCAGGTTCCACTGTGTGTGTGCACCCATGGTGACATCCGGCAGCCATGGAAGTGTACTGCTGAAAGCCAAGACCCCCACAGATGCTGTGGGCCTGGATCCAGCCCTGCCCTTGAGTCTCTGACCTGCACCACTGAGCTGAGCTGCAGCTCCCATTATGCCTGCTGTGGGCCCTGGCCCTTGGTGGTCATCCCAGCCCTCACCGGTATGTCTGTAATTGTCTCCTGCCACTACACAGGTACCTGTACTTGGCCTCCACAACCACGTGTGTGCACACCGCTGGCTCTGGTTAATACAGCTGCCTGCCCTGGTCCTAGTCACTGGATCTGGGAGTGTCCTTAGCACCCAACAGCCTTTGCATCTACTGTACCTCCCTCCACTCCTGGCACTTGCCAGGGACCGTGCGAGTTATTGATGCTCTGCATCCCACGGTCTGTGACTAAAGATAATTCATGGAGCTAATAGGTTACCCCATAATTTTAATCCAAACCAATCTTCTGTAAGATATATTATAATAAAGCTGTCTAAAATTAGAGACTGAGAATTTTAAAAGCAGCAAGAGAAAAAAAAATTCTCTTGTGAATGGAAAACCCCAGGAAGGCTGTAGCAGGCCAGGACAGAGTGGAAAGACAGATATATTCAAAGTGCTAAAAGGAAAAAAAAGCCAACCTAGAATACTTTGCCCAGCAAAGCTGTCATTCAGAAATGAAGGTGAGATAGACTTTCTGAAACAAACACAAACTGATGGAGCTCACACTGGGCCTGCCTTACAAGGAATGCTGAAAGAAGTTTTTTTAAACTTAAATAAAAGGATGCTAACTAGTAACATGAAAACATATGAATACATACAACCATTTTTTTGGTATATGTTTTGGTATATGACACCCAAAGTATAGGCACCAAAAGCAATACCAGCAAGTGGGACTACAATAAACTAAAAAGCTTCTGCACAGCAAAAAGTTAGCAAACCAAGAAGATAACTTACTGAATGGGAGAAAATGTTCACAATCCATGTATCCAATAAGGGTTAATATCTAAAATATATAGGGAACTCGTATAACTCATAGCAA